GGTAGCCATGGCCACCAGAACACTGTACTGTTGTTACTAAATGATGAGTTCATATTGGACATCCTCCAGGACAGGATTATGGAAGAGATTGCGGAACAGGACATGGATATAGATATGGCAGTGGTCATTTTACTGAACTGTGTGAGAAGCAGTGACAGGGTTATCCACCAAAGGGATCATTCCTACGAACTGAAAGAAAAGTTCAAGAGAAAAAAGAGAGATTCTATTATTCTCAAAAAATCTCTCTCAGACAGAGAGCAAGCAGACTTTGATATGAAAAAAGAAGAGCTTGGCAGAAGATTTGGTGATCGATGCAAGCAGTTTCATGGTTTTAACATTCTGCAGTCTAATTTCTCTGAAGCCTACATCAGGAACGGATGTGCTACATTCAAACATATCAAAAGAACAAATAAACCACTGAAGACGCAGCTTGCTGCCTTCCTGTGTCTGCTGAATGCCTACGTACCAGGTTCATATCTCCTGGAGTCTCAGTGCCTGGACTTGCTCAGACATGAAGATGATGTTAACCTTTCACTGGAGGATCAAATGCAGCCTTTCAGTCATCTGATCATCACCTTCCAACAAGATGGGAGATCTGAAACAAAAGTCTGCATGGCTCACAATATGATAGCTCAGTGTTGTACTGAACTGTTGGGTGATGCAGGTGTGACCAGAAGTGACACAACAAGAAATCTCTTGAACAGTTTTTGCAGAAGTTATGTTCCTTCATGTTTGCTTGGGTTTGTCAAAGACATGCTAACCAAAACTGGCTCAAAAAGCTATTGAAGCTTTTGAAGAGGAAGAACAACTTTCTAAAAATGAACACATGAAAGGCCAGCAAGGAGATGGGAATACAAAAGTCTTGCGTGCTTTAAACAAGAGGGGACAACATGTTAGACCTTGTTTACACAAACATCCCACATGCATACAAGGCTTCACCCCTCCCCCACATCGGACAATCAGACTACATCTCTATACTTCTCACCCCAGTCTACAGACCTATAACCCAGACGGGTCATACCAACCTTCAGAGAGGTGAGAACATAGTCAGAGTTGCCATACCTGTTCTGCAAGATTGCTTTGAATACAAAGACTGGGAAATGTTTAGAGAAGCTGCTACATACACAGGCACCGTGTACCTGGAGGGGTAAACAACCTCAGTGACCAGCTACATCAGCAAATGCATTGAGGATGGCACTGTCTCCAAGACCGTCATCACATATGCAAACCATAAACCCTGGTTCTCTGCAAAGCTACGCAACCTGATAAAAAATGAGAGACTCTGCCTTTAAGTCCAACAGTAGAGAAGCTTACACTACAGCCAGAGCAGACCTATCATGGGCCATCATAGAGGAAAAGCGGGAGTATGCAGACAAGATCAACACACATTTCACAAGTACAAAGGACACTCTGTGTATGTGGCAGGGCATTCAAACAATCACGGCTACAAGCCATCACCTCCGGCATGCAGCACTGATCCCTCCCTGCCTGGCCAACTGAATGACTTATTTGCACGTTTTGAGGCAGAGAACAAAGAGCCAGCAAGGAAGATGCCACCCTCCCCCAACAACCAAGTACTCTGTCTGTCCACAGCAGACGTCAGGATGACACTTTGCAGAGTAAACTCGCGCCCGTCATCACAAAGTGCTTTGAGAGGCTGGTATTGAGGCACATGAATACTCAGCTTCCACCGAATCTGGACCTGCTACAGTGTGCTTACTGCCCAAACCATTCCAGAGATAATGCCATCTTGTCTGTTCTTCACCTTTCTCTCTCCCATCTCGACAAAAAGGACACTTATGTCAGAATGGTGTTTGCTGATTTCAGCTCAGCATTCAACACAGTCATTCCCCAGCAGCTGGTAAAGAAGTTGGACCTACTAGGAATAAATACCACTCTCTGTAATTGGATCTTGGACTTCCTAACTGACAGACCCCAGTCTGTCTCCATTGGAAATAAAACCTCCAAAGTCCTCATACTGAGTACAGGATCGCTGCAGGTCTGTGTGCTTAGTCCATTGCTGTTCACCATGCTAACACATGACTGTACTGCACAGTACAGCTTAAACCACATAATCAAGTCTACAGATGACACAACAGTGGTGGGTCTCATCACCAACAACGATGAGTCTGAATACAGAGAGGAGGTACAACACCTGGTGGACTGGTGTCATAATAGCAACCTGTCTCTAAATGTTCAGAAGGCTAAAGAGCTGGTTGTTAACTTAAGGAAGAGCTCAATGGCCCACACCCCACTGCACATCAACAGATCTGCTGTTAAGATGGTCAACAGTGTGAAGTTAATGGGCATGCACATATCAGATGACCTCTCCTGGAACCTGAACTCCACCACTATCATGAAGAAAGCCCAATAACGTCTTCACTTTCTTAGGAAACTGAAGAAGGCCAGTCTCTCTCCTTCCATCCTCACATAATTTGAACAATGTGCTTATTTGCACACCTCAGTCACATAGTTACTAAATGAAGATGATAACAGTGGGTGGACTATATTCTTAAACTTAGTTACAGCACTTTCATAAAGACATCTACTGTAATGAGGTCTACTACCCACTGCTGTGCAATCAATTATTGTAAATTTAAATGTTATCAGGAAATGATCAGATGAGAGAGTTTTCAGGAATCTCTGTTAAATGTTCAGTTTCTATTCTAAATGTTAAAACAAGATCTAGAATGTGATTAAAGTGGTGGGTGGGTTCTTTTACATTTGGAGAGCAGACAATTGGTTCTAATAACAAATTAAATGCAGTATTGAGGTTGTCATTTTTAGCATTTACATGGATATTAAAATCACCCACAATAATTATTTTATCTGAGCTGAGCACTAAATCAGATAAAAAGTCTGAGAAATCAGACAGAAACTCTATGTAAGGCCCAGGTGGACAATAGATGATAACAAATAAGACGGTTTTTCAAATTTTGCAGCTAGGGGGGACAAGTCTAAGCGTCAGGCTTTCAAATGAACAAATAAAAAATTCAGTCAGATTTCTAGAGATGAGAACTGCTTCTTTCAAAGTGGGATGGATGTCTTTTGTTTTATTATGGGTATGGAGATATTTATATGCACATGAATGTTTGTATTTTGCAGATGAAAATGCTGTGCTGTCAGACTTATTTAGAGTTCTGCATGTGGACAGTTGTGGAGATTATTTGGAGCAAGTGTCTGAAGTGACATCATCCCATGTGAAGTTAAAGAATCTAGACTTCTCTACAAAAGGAGTCACTTTTCTAAGGAAACTGGGCCTGCCTGTAAAGATTTCTGCAGATGTGTTAATATACATGAGAGTCAGAACTGGCCTCACTCTGCATGTTTATCTGGTTCCACGTGATCGTTCATTACAACAGGTAATATGATGTCACATCCTGCAGAAATATTAAAGAAAAAGAAATGGGGGGGAAAATATTAACAAGGCAGTATATTGTAACATGGCAGCAAATAAAGAGTTTGGGCTATGATTGTTTGACAATTAGGAAAATTAGGAAATTATAAGATAAGATAAGATAACCTTTATTAGTCCCACACGTGGGAAATTTGTTTTGTCACAGCAGGAGTGGACAGTGCAAAAGTTATGAGGCAAAAATTAGAATACAATAAGAATAAATACAGTACACAACTGTACAGAATAGAATAAAATACTATATACAGTAGAATAAAATAAAATAAA